AACAAAAAAAAAAAAAGGGGGGGGGGGGGGGAGGGGGGGAAACTGAGTTAGCTTTAAGCCTTTATGAGCAGTACATTGGTTTCAATTTTCGGACAGCGATTTTCAGTGGTCTAGGACGAAAAAAAACAAGGCGCGGTACCGGATAGAAACGGCTGTGAAACTGAAAAGGTACAGGCACTTCTTTGTCCACGACCCTATAGATTCCCTACAAACAGGTGATATGATCCCGTTCTAAAAGATAGTATGAAACGAGTCAATCCTCCCACCTCCAAAGCGCAGCTACCTACCCCCTTCCGAATCATTGGTGACCGAAACTGCGGCAGCCACAACCACTGTACGACGAGTATGCCGTTATTACAGCTGACAATAATGATGACAATGAGAGGGAAGGTTTTTTCTCTTAAAGATGAGTGATATTTTACTATGAGGTGCAGCGTACCTAAAAGTTACCTCAGTTCACCGTGTGTTCACCGTACATAACGCCATACTGAATGGCCACGAGCTTCGTGTGCCCTGCAAGCCTGCTTCCCCGTATGGGTCCGCGCGGTTTTTCGGAATTAGTGATCAAGCTGAGGGCCACCGTCATTCTTTTAAAAACTCCACCAGGACCATGATGTTGTAATCCAGACTCAATGGTATATATATATATATATATATATATGCTATCAATTGGAGAATGGTTATCGTGTTTGGAGGTAACTTCTTGAGCTGCCTCGGGCTGAAGCTGTCATTCATCTAGAAGTTCCGAGTTCGACCTCAGTTTTTACTGTTAGTCCCATCTAGTTGTGAATAGTCTCGGCGTGACTAACTTCTCTTCCCTTACCCCCGATTGCATCAGAAGAGGCTCAGCTGTCAAAATGAGCTCAAAGTTAGGCCCATGTCCTAAACGTCCGAGGTTTGAGTTCAACCGCCACAACTGTCCAGACTGGGACAAATTGGCAATGTTTTAATTCTCGTGCCTACTTGGGATCGCATGAGCCTCATGTTTCTGAAGTGCAATGCAGGCGCTTTAGGGCAATAATATATCATCCGCCCTCAGTAAGATACAAGGAAAACACTGCTGTCGATTATTTTCCGGATAAGCATTTGATGTAGCTGTGGGACGAGTTTTGATCGACTAATTTTGTGTGTCTCGTTTTTATTCGGAAGTATCCACTTGACTCCTTCCTATTTTTTTGCGTTTAATTTGTTAGTAAGCGTAGACTGTTTTGTTACGCATAGGCATCGTCAACAAGCGTGGTAGACGTGAACGTTGTTCTTTGTTTTATCTGGATCGTACATTTTTCAAAGAAATGCAAGCTGGAGAGATTTCCTCAGGTAAACCTCAAGGAATCCAGTTTGAGTTCAACCGCCACAACTGTCCAGACTGGGACAAATTGGCAGTTTTAATTCTCGTGCCTACTTGGGATCGCATGAGCCTCATGTTTCTGAAGTGCAATGCAGGCGCTTTAGGGCAATAATATATCATCCCCCTCAGTAAGGTACTAGGAAAACACTGCTGTCGATTATTTTCCGGATAAGCATTTGATGTAGCTGTGGGACGAGTTTTGATCGACTAATTTTGTGTGTCTCGTTTTTATTCGGAAGTATCCACTTGACTCCTTCCTATTTTTTTGCGTTTAATTTGTTAGTAAGCGTAGACTGTTTTGTTACGCATAGGCATCGTCAACAAGCGTGGTAGACGTGAACGTTGTTCTTTGTTTTATCTGGATCGTACATTTTTCAAAGAAATGCAAGCTGGAGAGATTTCCTCAACTTGATTGATTGATTGATTGATTGATTGATTGATTGATTGATTGATTCATCAACATCTGCCCCCTGGAGGGGAGGGGTGCGCAGAAATTGCACTTCTGCACACTTGTGAAACACTTGCAGGATTGTCACGACAGGACAGTGCAACGGTGACCTGGGGATCTGCGGACACCTTGTGGAGAGCTTTGTCATAACTAAAAAGATATTTAATTGAACTGATGATAATTGATGTCATGTACAAGATCTAATGCAAAGATTGCGACAAACATTGCGTGGAATAAACAGGGTGAGAGCTTCTACCGGACAACGTGGATACAATCCAGTTTTTAAAAGACGCGATCGACTTCCAATCGCTTCCGTTCACGAAGATCGAAGTGGAAACAAACTCAACTACAACAACGTTCGGATACTACCCCGGATGAGGACGAAGTGGGAAAGTGAATTCATGGAAGCGTGTTGGTCCACCGAAGAATTCATCAAGGAACATAGTGAAATTGACTGGATCTGTCAACCATTGAGAACAAAAATACATCAGAAGTATGAATTTCTGTGGTTCCAGGATTCCGAAGAAGGTGAAGAAGGTGAATCCACTTTGGTTGAAGTATACACTCAACCAATCAATCAACTAACCAACTGAAAAAAGCAAGTTAAACAAAGAATTGCATGCAATTAACCAGGCAAATGTGAGGAAGTCGTCCCGTCCCAAGAAGCGAAACAACACCACACACGAAGCGCAACCAGCAAATTAAACTCGACACAATATAAACTGGAGACAGGTCAATCAAATCAAAGAAATCTACTTAGGGTAAAACTTGCCGTAGTAGCCAAGCCCGTCCAGAGGACGGATCGCAACACAGCACTAATCGAAAACGGGCCAGTTACATTGCTGGATATCGGATACTCTTTGCAAAATACCACATAGAGGGGAAGTACTCACTCAACCACACACTAATGATGTTTAAACGAAACGTCTGCAAGCTAATCACTGAACTCGGAGAACAGGCCAGCAGCTGACAGCCGTCTGATCACCAACTACCAGGAGCTTCACGGTTTTCATTCGGTTGGACGCGCCCTGGAGTAGTATTTATGGAAATAATGGCTTTAGCCTTCCGAACACAGAGCGAGCCGCCACTTACTATTCGTTCTTACATGGATGACACTGCTGCAGCGTACTGGAAGAAACGCAGTGGCAAAATTGCCATTCTTCATCTTCGAAGTAATATAAGTTTGACTTATTTATTGTCTGATAATTTCAAGATTCAGCTCGTGCGTTGTTTTTGAACCCAAATTCTACTGGTTTTCGTAAAATTCTGCCTGCCAACACTTTCCTCAGGTCTCTTACTTCGATCGTCCGGATGGGGGTCCGAGAACGGTGTATAAACGCTCTGGCCATTTCCGACCCCCTAACCGGGTGGCGTTCTGGCCTGGTGGATCCGCTGGTGGCTCCCTTTTATTGAGCGCTGGTCAGGATAGCATGTTACGGTGAGTTCCATATTCATTTGTGAGTGTCTGAATTCCGGTGTTAGCCTGATATAGATCTTTCGTCGATTTCACTGATGGTCTGTTCGTAATACCCGGACAATTGGTTGGTCACACGCCATGTGCTTCGTAGGTTGGGACGTCAACTACTGGTCATGAGGTCCTTGATTTCACCTGTTTCCGTTTGTTTTTAAGTATGAGTTGCCTACGTGTACTTCAACCCACGTGCATAATTTGAGCTGCGATGACTGGCCTACTTAATCTGATTTGGTTTGCTTGAGCCATTTTCTACCACACCTGTTGGGATTTTATGTTCGCATTGGTTCTCACTTAAAGAGCTCCTTCTTATGAGAGACGACTCGTTTTCGGCTGGTCCTTTGAGGCTCTTAGTGTGTCGTGGAATCTCAAGGAAACCGCATAATAAAGGGAATCATGTGTGGCTGGCTCCTTGATGTGGCTTGCCCAAAGTCAGGTTTCAGCCTTGTCCTTAAACCTGATTGCTTTCTATGTTCCATTACTGTTGACTTTTAGTCTATTGCTTTCTTGCGTCCAAATGCTCTGCCGTCCTCAGCTTCACCCCACAACTGTGACATCAAAGACATGCTGGCCATAGGAGTATAAACCCTACGTTGAACTCGTGGGTTGTCCATGAGTACAGTGTGAAAACACTGATGATCGGGGAATTTTCGATGTGTATCGATGCTCCGGATCGACGTATCAGTGAGAGCAAGTGCATTCTTCCGCCGTAGTTTCTTGTTTAGGCTGGGTTGAGGATGGGAACATGTGTGACGACTTGTTCCGTAAAAACGGTAGTGTATTTGAATTTCCTGCCACATAACGCTGCCTTGCGGTCAGGCTTTTGAGCCAAAAACTTTGGTCTTGTCTAGTTGTGCGCACCCCTGTACGATCAACGCACAGTACAACCACAGGACAGTACAACCACAAATTACAAGTAAACTCCCACCACATCGGCCGTGTTGTGGTGTCATCAGCCGGGTCGCCTTACTTGCTGCATACAGCAGGGCGGGTAAGCGAAAACAGACCACTGCTGATGCCTTCCCTCTTTTTCCTTCACATAACTTTTCTTCCCCCCACTCCCCAATCCACTAATAAATCTGTTTTTGTAGGCCCACCAGTTAGAACTGATGACTCCGTTCATCTTGCATCGGTTTTTCAGGTAACATCTGCGCGTCATCTGGCGCCGACATCCTCAGGCATCTTGAAATCAATCTTCAAGCCTCGACTTCAATATCCGAATTTCGAACCGAGCAGAGCAACAAACTGCTTCAGCTCTCACACTGAGTTCACGCTGCATTGATGTGTGCTGTGTCTAAGAAATATGAATTCAAGACGCAAGCATAGTGGTTGAGCTAACCGTCCCATCATTCTGTACTCGCTTCCGGCTACGCACCTCTGGTTACCCAGAGGCTGCTGCGGGAGGACGTGCAAGGGTTGATATCGTCCTAAGTCCACCGAGCGGAAGGCTGCTTGCTTGACTCGATACCCGACCACAGTAGCCTCTGTGCGGTTCGTCTGGTGAAGTCTGAAGAAGTCTCACAAAGGGAAAGTTGATGGATGTGTGTTTACCCCAACGGACTGTAGCTCTGACACCATCAGAGACTAGTTTTACGTCTACCTGAATGTCCTGTTGCTGCGAGCAAAAAGCTCAGATATGGTTGTGGTTGCCGGAGATATGAATACCCAAGTGGGCAGGTTTGGCGCATCTGAGACTGAATTAGCTAGCAGACATGGATTCGACGCGGTACGTACAAACAATTTTGAATGGTTGCTTCAGCGTTGTGCTGACCGCAGATTGTTTTTATGCAGCAATAACTTCTGAACTAGCCGAATTCGTCTGGCCACGTGGTGTTTTACAACGGCTTGCTGGCACTTAACTGAAATACTTGACATTGCCCTCAGTTATCGATGGCACGGATCAATAACTGGCTGCCAGTTGTTTGGAACGCATTTGTGGATTCTGACCACGCACTCGTCCGGAGTCGTCTCTCCCTACGTTTTCCTGGGCCGCAGATCGTTTGGCTCGTGAGAGACTGGCAGATCCGAATGTTAGATGAATTTACCAGAATCGTCTTCCAGGATCTCTTCCACATGCTCCACCATCAGATGTGAACCCTTACTGGTACCAGATTGCCATCTCTTTCTATAGTGCTTGAAATTTTGCCTGTGTCACGGCACCAACAAATACATCCAAGTACTGGATAGCTGACCTAACTGTGACACTACTTAATCATCGGAGAAACATCCCCTCCGGTCCCGATTATAACTTAACATGACGAATTATCAGACGTCAAGTGAAAATTAGTGTGTGGGCCGACCGTGAATTCTGGTGGAAATGGAACAACAGTTATCGTCACCACCAACTGCCACTCTTCTGTAGCCCACAGTAGACTTAGAACCCTCTGCGGTGAACTTGGAACCCCATACGATCTCGAAGGTTTATGACTGCAAATGTTATCTCAAGCGCCACCGAGCTTCCGGTCCTGATGATCTCCCACTTGCATTGTTCATGGACGGAAGTGAAGCCCTCATTCAGTGCCTGTCTGAGTTGCTTTGCTGCATTTGGGAAAAGGAGACCGTCCAAGACAACTGGAGAGAGTCGATGATAGTGTCCATTTCCAGAAAAGGACTCGTAGTGAGGGTGGTAATCACAGGGAGATCAGCTTAACTCCGGTTGTAACGAGACTCTTGGCGTTACTGGTGCTTCGTCGCCCTATGGTGGCTCGTGGAATACTGACCCGAGAGCAGCAAGTGGGATTCCGTCTTGGTAGGTATTGTGTTGATCAAATCTTCCCACTTAGTAGGTACTAGAATGACGCCATACGTACAAACTACCCACAATTCTAGTATTTCTGGATTACCAAGGCTCATTCGACTCGGTCGACAGTTTTGGTGTTCTTGACACGCTTGCCGATCAAGGAATGCCTCGGAATTTTGTGAGCATAATGCTCTCTTTGTATTCTCAAATTGCCGGACGTGTGAGAGTATAAGTAGAGCTCCCCGAAAGCTTCCGTATACAAAGTGGTGTCCGTCAAGCGTGCCCACTCTCTCCATTCTTATTTAATTTCGTGATTTTCGAAATAATAAGATGAACACTGGGAGGTCTCAAGAAACCTAGTTTCTAAATGGTCTGTGACGAAAACCTTGTCTATCTGGAATATGCAGACGACATCGTTCTCTTCTTCGAAGAGGTGAAGAAGGCGCAAATGTTTTTGGATGAAGTGACCAAAGTCATCTCATCCTTCGGTTTACACTCTGCACCACCAAATTGTATGTTCATACTCTTGGATATGCAGTCGCTACTACCTAGAATCCAGGGAGGTTTGTGGAAATTTGTGGAGGCTTTTACTTATCTTTGAAGCTGTAGTAGTTCTGATTATAGTGTGACAGATGAAGTCAGTGCACGAATTTTTAAGGCTCAGGTCGCATTTGCTGATTTTACGGTACATCCCTGAATTTCAAGAGACGTGTGTGTCGGGCTATAGTGCGGGCTGTTTTGTTGTATGGCTGTGAGGCTTGGCCTGTTTGAACAGCTGAACTGAGACGTCTCCAGGTGTTCGACATTGTCTCAGAGCCATGGTTCTTTTGGATTGGGGTCAGAGAATCCGAAACAAGGCATTTGGAAAGCGAGTTTTCGGTTGTGCAACAGGAAATTCCAATGTGTCCAGCACTAGAAGCTGAGTTGGTTGGGCTATGTAGTGTGTATGTCGAACCATCGTTTGCCGAAGAGAGTGATGTTTTCCGTGCCCATTTCAGATTGTCAGAAGCAGATATGTGCCAAACCCTCGACCTGCTAGAGGAATTCGAAAGAGATTATGGAACGTTTGGGTGCTGTCGATGCGACTCGCCTTCCAGGATGGGTACCGCGTAATCCTCACTGCGCCTGGTTTGAGACGCTGAAAGATGTGGCTTTCAATCGAATTCAATGTTGTTCCTGTTGTTAGTTTCTAACCAGATTGGCGGAATGAGTGTTGGCACCTTGGAATGATGGTAGCAAGCTAATACTAAGTCCCTTCCATATCTCCATCTTCACAATAAGGCTTTCATATGAATAATGGCAGCGATGGATCAGTGTTAAACACTGATGTCGTCCTGTTGTTGATGATGATGAATCCTAATGCGACTGAAGACACCGGAATATACTGATTGTACCATCACTACGTGGAGGATAGAACTAAAATGCTGTTACTTGATTGAATCGGTTATGTTGATGAATGCCGAAGGATGTTACCGATGTTTAATTCTTAGGGGACTGTTTGGCAAATTCGATGCATCAACGCCTATCGCACTCTATTCAGCATTCTCTCTGAGTGAATTAACCTGACCACTTAAGGTGAGGTACAGTCAACACGCTCGGTCTTATTGTTGACAGTCTTTACAGAAGTGGATACCATTTCCCTAAGTACATTGCCGACAATCCGTACTCTAATGGTTGTTCCACCAGACTCTGGTAGGTTAGCGGTTGCTTCCTCGAGGTCCAACCATTGCATTGTAATAACGTGAAGGCAACGTACCTGTAGCACCGAATTTTACGAAAAGATGGTGTTGCACTGTTCCTTCCGTTGGGTTTAAGGGAAGCAACTTGTTTCCTTAGAACGGTCATTACTAATTGAACTCGAACACTGAAGATTTTAGGCGCGGCTCCTTGTGACGTCCTTCTTTGGCTTTAGCATTATATATATATATATATATATTATATATGGCAGCTGGGCATCGAAAGAGTGCTACAGCTGAGCGAATATAGCACTATATTTCAGCCTTGGCGATTGTCTACTTTTACCACCTATACGTATCACCTGATTTGTTGCACATTCTTCTGTTTTATGGAGTATTGGTCTCAAAGATCATGACTTCTGTTAGCCCGTAGTAGCACCCATTCGTGTTATATCCCCTCCTCCGGTGACAAATGAGCTGCTTATGAGGTATTTATTTTACCTTCCTGTCAGTATTTTCTCTACATTCAACGAACACTTGGATAAGAGCCTCGGACGTGCATACGCTCCTGGCGTGCCTGATCGTCGCAAAAGCAAAGCGGAGGACCGCCTGACATGGCTGTTACCTGCCATCAGCCAGGTATCCATTTGTGCCGCTCGCGCAGAAGACTGGGATAGTGTCGTTGCGATTCATGCGGGCAGGCGACAAGCAACTACTTGGAATTTTGTCAATTCCACTCGTGGCAAACATTGGTTGGATCCAGGAAAGTTCAGCGGAAAAGGTGGTGAAGCCGTGCGCCTTTACAAACACACAGTCGCCACTGTACGTTAACAATTCATCCACCCTTTCAAGTCTTATATTTATTGATAGTTTTGGACGACCTAGATTCTTTATACATCAAGTGAATCAGTCGGCTCCGTTTAAGTGCGCTTATCTGGTAACCTATGGTAGTGGGCTTCGGACGGACAGAAATTCATGCTGGAAAGTACTGTGGTGAAGTGTGTGATTTGTACTTCACTGGCGTTACTGCCTAAGATCCTTTCTGCGCTTTCACGCATCTATTTTCTTCGATAGTCACCAGCAATATCCACCGGGGTCCACGAGTTGATAATAATAAGCTTATTGAGCTAGCAAAATACACTCACTTGCAAACAAATTTGGTTTTACTTGAGGCTCACCTGGAACCCAGCTGAATCTCTCGTTTATGTTCCAGGTGAGTCCCCTGCAAAACCATGTTTGTTTGAAAATGAGTGTATTTCGCTAATTTCGTGCATTTTTGGTTCAAGTGGAACATGAGGCTAACGAAAACTTAGGGACTGGATAAACTCCAAGAAGGGCGAAACCGGTCGTGGGCTATCGAAGAATTTTCAGCAACTTTATGGGTAGTCTGTTACGTCTAGACTTATTAAGTGCTTCGGATTCGGTTCGTACCCCTTTGAAACTTAAATGTTTTCCCATCTCTCCACAAACGAAGATTTACAACCATAAAGATGGAAACCGTTTAATTCCATCCACTCTTCTGAACAGAATACCTTTAACGAATTGAACATTTGATGTTTTTCAGCCTTTGCGAGCCATCCACGTTTGTCGTTTTAACCTTATTCTCTGACAGCAGAACGAACTTTTCTTAAGATCTATACTCGTGAATATTCTTCTACCATAAGCGCGTCGAACGACCATCTTGAAACAGGTTCTTTGTTGTTCCAGTTCTCTCTGTTCGTTCACTCGAAGGTTACGCGAAGTCCATAGCGTGATTGTGTGTCCTGTCCTGCGACTCCCCCGCTTTAGGACAACACACTGCGCAGTAGTTTTAAAGTTGATTAATTAGGTCATGGGTCATGCGGAAGTAGACCCGGTTGACCAAATGTTTAACGCAAATTCGACTTGCTAAACTCTAGTGACCACGAACGGATCAACTCAATATTTTCGTTAAATCGTTTATGGGTTAGGGTCACTAGCACCTTGATCAATGCAAGGCCCTTCATAAACGATTCAATAATTTCAGGACTGGCAATTTGGTTCTTGTGCTTAGGTTACGGAACATTCCCACAGGAGTTTCGACGGTAAAACCTAAAGGAGATCGCACTGGCTTTAACAGTCATTCCATTACTGAGGACTATCCATATGTTGCGATTTAGGATGGAAATGATCATAGTTTGGTGACGAATCTTAATACCCTGGTCAGCAAACTCGACCGCTTGGTTGGCTTCCGCCTGCTTGGGGACCGTATTCATCAATGGTTAGAGATGTCAGTCTAGCTCCCCATATCAATATTAAAATGCCTTTAATCAATATATCATCGTAACCGAACTCACGCTGTTTTCTCCAGTATGCTCGCGAACGAATATAGCACTATATTTCAGCCTTGGCGATTGTCTACTTTTACCACCTATACGTATCACCTGATTTGTTGCACATTCTTTTTATGGAGATATGGCAGCTGGGCATCGAAAGAGTGCTACAGCTGAGCGAATATAGCACTATATTTCAGCCTTGGCGATTGTCTACTTTTACCACCTATACGTATCACCTGATTTGTTGCACATTCTTCTGTTTTATGGAGTATTGGTCTCAAAGATCATGACTTCTGTTAGCCCGTAGTAGCACCCATTCGTGTTATATCCCCTCCTCCGGTGACAAATGAGCTGCTTATGAGGTATTTATTTTACCTTCCTGTCAGTATTTTCTCTACATTCAACGAACACTTGGATAAGAGCCTCGGACGTGCATACGCTCCTGGCGTGCCTGATCGTCGCAAAAGCAAAGCGGAGGACCGCCTGACATGGCTGTTACCTGCCATCAGCCAGGTATCCATTTGTGCCGCTCGCGCAGAAGACTGGGATAGTGTCGTTGCGATTCATGCGGGCAGGCGACAAGCAACTACTTGGAATTTTGTCAATTCCACTCGTGGCAAACATTGGTTGGATCCAGGAAAGTTCAGCGGAAAAGGTGGTGAAGCCGTGCGCCTTTACAAACACACAGTCGCCACTGTACGTTAACAATTCATCCACCCTTTCAAGTCTTATATTTATTGATAGTTTTGGACGACCTAGATTCTTTATACATCAAGTGAATCAGTCGGCTCCGTTTAAGTGCGCTTATCTGGTAACCTATGGTAGTGGGCTTCGGACGGACAGAAATTCATGCTGGAAAGTACTGTGGTGAAGTGTGTGATTTGTACTTCACTGGCGTTACTGCCTAAGATCCTTTCTGCGCTTTCACGCATCTATTTTCTTCGATAGTCACCAGCAATATCCACCGGGGTCCACGAGTTGATAATAATAAGCTTATTGAGCTAGCAAAATACACTCACTTGCAAACAAATTTGGTTTTACTTGAGGCTCACCTGGAACCCAGCTGAATCTCTCGTTTATGTTCCAGGTGAGTCCCCTGCAAAACCATGTTTGTTTGAAAATGAGTGTATTTCGCTAATTTCGTGCATTTTTGGTTCAAGTGGAACATGAGGCTAACGAAAACTTAGGGACTGGATGAACTCCAAGAAGGGCGAAACCGGTCGTGGGCTATCGAAGAATTTTCAGCAACTTTATGGGTAGTCTGTTACGTCTAGACTTATTAAGTGCTTCGGATTCGGTTCGTACCCCTTTGAAACTTAAATGTTTTCCCATCTCTCCACAAACGAAGATTTACAACCATAAAGATGGAAACCGTTTAATTCCATCCACTCTTCTGAACAGAATACCTTTAACGAATTGAACATTTGATGTTTTTCAGCCTTTGCGAGCCATCCACGTTTGTCGTTTTAACCTTATTCTCTGACAGCAGAACGAACTTTTCTTAAGATCTATACTCGTGAATATTCTTCTACCATAAGCGCGTCGAACGACCATCTTGAAACAGGTTCTTTGTTGTTCCAGTTCTCTCTGTTCGTTCACTCGAAGGTTACGCGAAGTCCATAGCGTGATTGTGTGTCCTGTCCTGCGACTCCCCCGCTTTAGGACAACACACTGCGCAGTAGTTTTAAAGTTGATTAATTAGGTCATGGGTCATGCGGAAGTAGACCCGGTTGACCAAATGTTTAACGCAAATTCGACTTGCTAAACTCTAGTGACCACGAACGGATCAACTCAATATTTTCGTTAAATCGTTTATGGGTTAGGGTCACTAGCACCTTGATCAATGCAAGGCCCTTCATAAACGATTCAATAATTTCAGGACTGGCAATTTGGTTCTTGTGCTTAGGTTACGGAACATTCCCACAGGAGTTTCGACGGTAAAACCTAAAGGAGATCGCACTGGCTTTAACAGTCATTCCATTACTGAGGACTATCCATATGTTGCGATTTAGGATGGAAATGATCATAGTTTGGTGACGAATCTTAATACCCTGGTCAGCAAACTCGACCGCTTGGTTGGCTTCCGCCTGCTTGGGGACCGTATTCATCAATGGTTAGAGATGTCAGTCTAGCTCCCCATATCAATATTAAAATGCCTTTAATCAATATATCATCGTAACCGAACTCACGCTTTTTCTCCAGNATCATCGTAACCGAACTCACGCTGTTTTCTCCAGTATGCTCCTTTTCCCTACAATTACTCTTATCACGTGCGAAGAATAGCCTGACAGCGGGGACTGCTGTACAACGGGCTCATGGTTTTTAGTTTGCGGTGGCCACTTACCATCAGCTGTTCATTTGGGGGTAAAGTGTGCTGTCTATACCACACATGGATGTCGACGTTCACCGGATATGTGAGGAATGCCTAACGTGTGAAGTTGCTCGTACGTGACTCGAACAAACTCGTTAAACCATCTCAGACTCAGATGACACCTCTTCAGAATAACCTTATACCACCTCGCCCGTCTGTTTCGAAGTCGATATACTTCACGCTTATTATACCTGGAAGTGTTAGATGAACACAGATTCCTCTGTTTTATGCGACAAAAACAGCGTGAGGAGCATCACTCGTAATTGAAGCTCATTCCCTCTTTCTAGACAAACGAGTCCCTGATTTCCGGCGATTAATTCAGTTGGCCATAATTCCAAAAAAATTTCAAGGCATTAAGAATCCAGTGTTTTTTCAAAAGTGTCAACCTTACGGCCTGTCAAAGAAGAAACAAGCAGCCCCAGTGGATTCTACCTATAACTGGGACATGGTTGTTTAAATTATGGACAGTATTTGAAGTTCACCATATTCACTGGCGTTTTGTCTTACCTGGAAAGTTGCACTGCACACATTTTTCACATGAGATAAGTTTTAGTGAACAGTGGTTGACACTTGGATTGAGAAGTCAGTGATTTTTAGTGGTCTCCATCTGACTGTATTCTGTCTTAGAACTGTGGATCAGTTTTGACTCGTTAGGCAGCTGCGGTCGCTTCGACGCCGTACACAACCAAACGTGTTTTCAGACTACTTAAGTCGTCACAGTAGAGTGAAATACACAAACTATACCCCGCTGGCAAGCCCCAAAACTCGCTTTCTGGGCTGTGTTCCTATCTTGCGGTAATCGATGTGACTCAGTAGACTAATGCCATCTAGATGCAAATGACCATACTGGAGAAAAAATAGTGAGACAGGGCCCCAGGTTTTCATATGACCCTAGATTAAAAATACGGTAAAGATTTCCCTCTTGTCACTCCAGCTGGGTGTAAAGCACTTTAAAAGATTAGTTCAAGAACATAAAACATTAACACCTGATCGCCTTGATGCGGGGCTTGGGTTCGAGTGCTACATTGTCTGGGACTTCGTCCCAGCCATATCAGGAAGGCCAGAGGGGAATAAATAGCCTAAGAGCAATGATTCTCGGCACGTTGAGTAATCACACTATGGGGTGGCCTAGGGCAAAGTTGTATCGTACTCTGTGACAGGGGAAGGTCGGCCATAAAATCCACACACTGGTCACCCACTGGTTGGCTGTGACCGCTGCCGAATTATTCATTGCGACCGAAATACCGATGAATTCTACCAAAGTTGTTGGTAAATACACCGAACCGTTGGTAACTCGTGTGCATTTATTGTTTGCCAGTCAGGTGGCTATCGATCCGTTCGACCAGTTTGACTATTGACTTGGAAACGTTTCATCACCAAAGGAGGAGAGATCATCAGTGTGCACCATGATCACCAACTGCGTGCTGATGATGTTTCCTCGTTTGGTGACAAAACGTTTTCAAGTCAAACTCGGCGAACGGATCGACAGCCACCTAATCAACAACCAATAAAATCTACCAAGAGACCGATGCAGCTTCGAAAATAAACCGTCTTCTACAGCTTAGACAACCGGGAAGCATCGTTCGAATTTACAGTCCTTCCTCCACTATGCATATATCCTCCCTACTTTTCAATAGATTCACGGCTGTTTTCCCATCTTCTAACCCTTTAACCATCGTTCCGTGTCCATACCACCGCCAACCAAATTAGACTAAAATGATCCCTTACTGAGCTACGCTGCTGCTTTCAAAATCCTTACCATCTGTTAAGTTAGATAACCTGATTTTCTCTTCCTGTGAATGTATTTTATGTGTCCGATTCACGCATACAAGACTCCACTTCGGTCGTACGTCACAGACCGCTTAGGACGAGCTCCAATAATCCACACATCACCTTTCGGATAACCTGTGATCCTGATGCAATCGCTTTTCGTATCTTTGACATGGGAGCTGTACTCAGCCCCAGTGCTGAAAGCGTCCTATGGGACTGGATAACAGTAACTAGTCATCTTCTGGTTTATTTAAGATCAACGTAGGTAGGTGCGGCGAACAATGTTTGTTTGTCGTATCAGCGCAAGCCCCGATAGACTGGATTGCTAAACCTGAGAAAGATAGGTTTTATTGGGATCCGTCACGTGTGCTTCAGCCATCAAGAAGTACCAATATTATCACCCTGCCGGTGTTACGAACCTCCAAATTGAACCGCTAAGCTTTGAAAAATGAAATTGTGGTAGATTCGGAGTTGATGATTACCGTACAGATAACGGCAAATGTTTTTTGAATGTAGTTCGTTTCTGGCCAGTATGTGCTTTCAGTGCAATCACCCACATCAAGTACTTGGGGGCTACTAACCGCAAACTAGTCATGGACTCAGTTGGATCATGTGTCCGTCAAACAAATAGCAATAATACCAATAAATAAATGAATGGATAATAATAAATAAAACATATAAAGATTACGCCGTCCGAGAATGCATCAACCGTATCTTTATTTTGAGACCAGTCCTTGAACGTCTAACGTTGGTAGTTTCTCTTGACTCTAGGTCGTCAGAAAGTATGGCGGTACCTGGCGGTCAGAGGTGTCTCTTACCCACATACAGGCACTGTACGTCAACTTCAATGAAAGCCTAGTTGTCTACAGCAAGTATTCTCCTCAGTTCACCATGTCCAGTGGTGTATAACAAGACTTATCTAACCATTTCATTTCGAATTTGCGATCGACGTGCTACTTGAAACTACTCCGCCTACATCGGAAACCTCCAGGATCGAAATACTCCAGGGCATTCATTCACTGGTACGGGGCACACAAACTGTACTAGCAACCGTTTCGGATGATTTAAAGGTGCCACTCGGTTTGATGTGTGCTTCTCGCCTGCCAAACATAAAGTGTTGCCACAGTACAGGTTGAGTTCAAGCCGAAATCACGTTATTGCAGATCAATTGCTCGTGTGGTTGGTATAAGTTGTGTAAGTTGTATAAGTTCCGGTGTATTGATTAGAAATGAGATCACTTCCTGAATCGGGAACGTCAGGACAACTTTTTCCAACCTCCGGTGCCTATGACACTGACCTTACGTCAGTTCTTTTTCAAGGGCAGGGTACACTGTGGTAGTGCAATCCATACTGCTTCATGTATAAGATTCATGGCCCCTATGCGCAAATGACTAATGAAAACTCTTATGATCATCGGCGTCTCCGAATTGTTTTCCTGGTTTGGGGGGGGGGAATTGGAGTACCAATGGTGATGTTCGCAAGATGGTCTTAGGAAGAAGAAACTGTTGCGCGGCAGATCAGCTACTCACCCTTCTTATGTCATGTCAACAGGTCATAGAATGGTGTATTATATCATAGGGTTCTTTTTCCCCGGACCTTCTCTTGATTGGAAAGGACCGAGTGGCGATAGTATGGAAACACTAGACAGTAAGCTCCGTCAGGTTGACAGCCGGTGTTTCCGTGGATGGGAACGTCAGGACTCGGCACATCAGCAGTTGCTGATAATGGCAAATGTCGTTCAGTCATGCAGTCAGTGGCACCTCTCCATCAAGGCTACCGTCTTCAATGTGTAGCTGTCCACCTTCCTGTTCCTTCAACCGACTGAACTGATTTACCATCAAATAACTGCTAATGCCACTACCTCTATCACCTGGCTGTCCATCATGCTGTCAGTTTTCGGTCACCGACGCTGTAGCAGTTGGAACCAGCGTACTGTGGTTACATGGTATATATCCGGTAAAATGAGTTAAACTGAAACAAGATTGCAATAATTATGAAGAGATAATGTGCATTAGGCATAAGTGTAATAATTTCATTTCGTTTGCATCATGTCTGTCACTCAGAATGTCTCCCTCTTTTTTTCCAACCCAACTGTGTTCTGTTTCCACGCAGTCCGTGTTTATCACCAATTGTGGCAACTACGTACTGCTTGGCTACTCTTCTGGTGATGTGTTCAAATTCAATCTTCAATCTGGCTTGGAACGCGGATCTTACGGAGAACCTACTGGTGAGCTTTCCAGGACTTTGTGGCCCTAACAGACGAGGAAGTTGCCTGTTGCTCGTTTGGACACCGGGGTGCTTATTTTTTGGTCACAAAAGCAATTTTCGCGTGGAAACCGTTTGATCTTTCATCCTGCGCCGTCAAGAGTTAAAGCGTCGTCATAAAAAAATACTTACTTTACTTTTCCGCGATGCGTACCTATCCGGCAAAAAGATCCTTCAGGGACAGTCTCACGGTCTCCCCTTAATCGACGACCTGGGATTATTCTTCTTTCCCCATATGGAATATCTTATGCGTGCATATGGGAACTTAGCTCTAAAGACATTGAAATCAAGGCACAGCTGCACGTGTGTGTCCCTAATTAGTTAATATCTCGATATTTTTACATGCGTGTCTGGAGTTGTTGTGGTCACTTCTAATGAATATAGAGAAAGGAAGCATTTTTCCAGCAACTGTCACTTCTCCTGAGTCTCTTCCGTTAAAACATACAAACAGTGCTCTTACACTGAATAGTCGCTCCGTTATTGTCTGGTCATCCATATCCTTCCTCCTCCCTTCACAGCCCACACTAGTGCGGTTGTCGGAATATCTGTCAACAACGTGAACCGACAAACGGTGACAGTCGGTGGCACGGAGGTTCGTTTCTGGTCTTTTCACAAGCACGATTTGCTGGCTTCGATCGATTTGTCTTCCTCCGCGTTGTTTTCCCGCTTTAACAGTGACACGTAAGTGTATGAGGTTTACTTTTTGCGTCTGTATGTGATAGGATCGTGGGAGTTTTGTGGTGCCTTTCTTCATAACAACTTCATTCCTTTTTTTGCAGTGATACTTTGGCCATTCCATTGACCACCGGACCCATCGTTCTACTGGATGCCACGCGTCGTCGAGTTATTAGACGTTTCGTGAATTCTGAATATCAGTCTTGTGTTGATTTGGTGAGTCCCTACTTTACGTGTGCAACAGTCCAGTTGGACTCAGTCCCCGTGTATTGTTGTTCCCCTTGAATGTCGAGCCGAGTTGAGTCGATTCAAACGGAGGGTGAGTGGTTTTCAGCAACGTTGTGGAATATAGGTGTGCTACTTGGTTGTTAGTCTGTTCGCCGAGCTTGGCAGTTGGGTTGCAAACGTTTCATCACCAATGGATGTGACGATATCATTACGATGTATCAGTAAATTGAAAATTCCTTCGAGTAAAGCAATTCCTTTTGACCGATTTCCGAGAGTACCGTGTCTGCTGTGATTTAGTTCCGTTGCGCCGTCACGCAATCCTGTTAGTGACATAAGATTAAATGAACCTCTACTGAAAAACGAAAAGGTACGAGCCCGCTTTATTTTGGTCGAAAAACGTCGTTAGTACCTATTCGAAGCCTCAAAACCCTGGAGCTACAGCATACCATCATCCTGGTTTGCTTCATTTTACGCAACGGGCTCCGTCGAGTACTTGGTAGGTGTTCACAACATAGATTACCGGCCGCTTGTCCGGGTGGTAGAGTTCCTAATCCCTCTTTTCCACGCTCGATGTTGTTCGTGGCACAGCAGCGTTTTAATCAGAAGTGGTAAGGGAGCCACAGTTCGGACGTTCATTTTCACAGTAGAAGCCTCAGACACACGGACATTTGCCGTTCTGAACAGCTAGCCCCAAAAACTGTCTGTTCTCTCCTGATAATTTTCGTATTTCTGGTGTCCTTCTGTGGGATCTGAGGTTCTTACCTTCGTCTTTTCATTCGTCTCGTAACTAGCTAACCTTGTTACTTAACCAATTCGATGAATGTTTGCAATTGGTAGTAAAAAGAGGCCATACGGACCCTGGAGAGTGCTGCCATTAAATCAGGCTGAACTGTATTTTCCATGACTTCCACCCATCCATAATTGTTTGGTACTCTGACATATTTCTCGTCTTCCAGTTAGCAGCTCATTGTATTCTAGGGATTGAGTGGAGCTGAAACACACTTTTATACGACCGGTGTCATCAACGATGCATTTCTCGCTTTTTAGGCGATTTCCACCGATGGTCGCTGGCTCATCTCTGCTCACCATGGCGATCCACTGATCAAAACATGGGATATCGTCCACGGAAGGTAGGATTCTCATAGTTACAATTTATTGCCTAGTTGCTTTGTTCTTGAAACAGTCACCGTGGCAGTCACCATGCTGTTTGTTAGTTATCTTTTCATTTCATATAGTCAAATTATTGCCTCACTTTTCCCTGCTTGGTTCTTGTTCTCAGATTAATTGACTGCTTTCGAGTTAGTACGCCTATTACTTCGTTGGCCGTTTCACCAGCAAACGATTTTATAGCCACTACTCACGCGAATTCCTTGGGAGTGCATCTATGGGACAATTCTGGCACGTATCAACGTCTGCACTTACATCCCCTACCAGACGACTACGTTCCTCCTTCGGACCGGAAACCAGTCGCCATTCCTTCAAGGTATGCTGCAATCGCTGTTCCTTGGTTTACTGACTTCTATTGTCTGCACTTATTATCGTTTGCCGATCACTCAGAAGGGTGCAGTTTCAACGTTTCGTTTCTGGTTTATTCCCGAAGATCAACTGGTCCACCTTTATTGGTTTCAATTCTACAGATACATTTAGTGTAATCCACCCACAACCTGACACTGTATAAGGTTTATGAGATTGCTGCAGTCTGGTTCTTTAACTGTACACAAAACTTCGTTCCATGCTCGAACGGTTGATCACAACCAAAATATGCCACACCTAGTTTCCACAGATTGCGTATTTGTGATTAGATGTTTCCGAATCATCCATGCGGATATTTTTGGGTACTACGTGGCCCCAAAGTTGATTCAGCTCATTTGTAGAGGATAAGCGGAACCTGAAAAAGAAGTTCAACTACGAAGTACACTCAGTTGCAAACAAATATACCTGTATCGCGATATCTCGAATATCGTAGTGACTGAAGCATGAGGCGGCCTGGTGCAGCACATTCAGTTGCCTGGAAACATCACAAACGAGAGATTCAGCTGGGTTCCAGGTGATTCAAAAAAGCAAATTAGTTTGAAAATGAGTGTATTTCGCTAATTCTGTGCGATTTGGTTTCAAGCAGAACATAAGTTTGACGGAAACTCAGGAACTGCGTCTACCTGATGAGCCCCAAGAAGGGCGAAACCGGTCGTAGGCTGTCGACGAATTTTTCAGCAACCTTATGATTAGTATCTTACGAAGTTCAACCACACATTAGCATGTATAATAGAAGTAGACTCAAACCACGGACCTATTTACCGAACTTGTGCCATCTAAACTGAGTCACCTAAAACACTTAATCTCAGTCACACTTCTGCGTTCGAACACGTGATTCGCCACATTTATGCCAGGTTGATCACCGTTTTGTCGCTTGTCAGCGCTGCTAATGAACTCCTTGTGCGACTTCCACAATGGGACGGACGGTGATATTTTGCAAATGTTCAAAGAGCTCTGGTGTAAGTTGTTGGGATGCAGAGTGGAATTAGGAAGAACATCCGTCCGATAAGCGGACGGGACAGGTCAAGACGTCACTGACGACTAATAGGGTCAGCGTCCTGACAGAAATTCAACGTAAAAGTATGTGCATAAAGAGTTTCCAATTTATAGCCGGGACGTATGTTCGTAGATAAGTAGTGATTTAAGTTAAACTGGTTCACAGATAGCCTCTCCACGAGTTCACAACTAAAAGATAGGGACGGAGTCTTCAATATAGCGGTGAGGAACTATGCGGCTTTTATGAGTAAGATGCTCCGGAGTACAAAAGTGTGCCCGTACTCCTTAGGAAACGCTTGGGAAAAGAGTTTCATAGCTTAGCATGTATTGGGGATGAGAAGAATGGACAAAGATGGTATCGAGAGGAGTTGAAAAAAAGTTTTGTTTAGTGACTATTAAGGTTTCCACGAGGAGATCAGGAGGTAAATTGCCGAGGGAAATAGAATTCTGATACAATCTCTAATAACAATGGTCAACTTTCAAAAGCCTTAAAAACCCATCCGGAAGGAGGTCTGTCGAGCAGTCAACCGTATGAAAAGAGCCCACTTATTGGGCTTAAAATACCCCTGGGCGAACGTGCGAGGATAAAAAAGAAGAGTTTCCAGCTGCCTTGTGAGTAGTTTCCTTTGTGAAAACAAAAGATAGTTCCACTCCAAGCTATCATGTGCATCAGAGGGCAATCATTGGTAGTTAGCGGTTAGACATTGTCGGTGGGCGAAATTCGAGTTCAGTGGTCTTCCTCTATGGTGTGTACTCACCAGGATAATCGTGCCAGGACAGGAGGGTGACCGTTTAAATGAAGGTGATGTAAACGTGAATTATACGAACCTCACCTCAATTATCCGAGTTTCGGTCACGTCCGCGTGTAGCCACAATATCGTTGTATTTGTTAGGATTCGAGATGAGAGTAGTGAATTGCACTCAATGGACGGTGGAATGAGTATTCTGTTGAAACGTCTTAGAATCAGCAGCTACCGAGTAGGTTCTACCGACAGCAATAGCTTAAGCATTTTCTATCACAAAGATTGAGTTTCCGATGCTTAGAGTGGGTGCGAAACGAAGTACACCACACTAGTGTGCAGTGCCAGTGGATATTTCACTACCAATAAGCTCTGAAATAATGTGAATGACAGAATGGATCCTTGCAACGGTACATGTGATCCAGATGCTTCCACGGAGCTGTATCCCTTTTTACCAAAAAATCTCCGCTGCTAGCGATGTTTTCGTTTCACCCGCATTCTTGGATGTCTTGCGATGTGGAACAGCCCTGTGTTTGTGTGAATTGAATCTCCAAGCGGGATTGAACAGAAGCTGGTAAACCATTGCTCACTAATTTTTTGAATATAACTTGTATGGGGTAATGGGAAACACTAGGTCGCATTTCATGTCTTGTCAAGTTTAGCCAGACTTCAAGTTCCACAACGGATACTATAGCATATCATTTTTTGTTGTTGAGCTGCGCGCTCTATTTTTAATCATTTCTCTCTTGTCTTTCAGATCCCTTATCGCACACTTCAACGAGGATTCCGAACACGGTTTAAAATCCATCAAGTTGGGCTTACGTGCAGCTAGTGATTCAGCGCATTCGGATGGGGATGCTTACGATGAGTGCTCCGAATCTAATGATGAGGACGTGGATATGGATAAGGAGCCACTGTCGAACACACCGCTATGGCGCGAGTAAGTTTCGATTAGCCCGTGTGGTTGATAAGTGCGCAGCATCCATTTTGCATGCCAGCTTCTGTGGCGGATTGATCCACACGTTGCACAGGTTAATGACATCCATTCTTAGTTTGGTTATTCTCGCTCACTCTGCAGGGTTATCATCTTTTATTCGGTTACGGTTTAACGTTCTCACTTGATTGCTTATTGTTTTCCAGCTACGTCTCTCCAGAACAGTTACCAGATAAACTTGCCACTCTATCTGGTCTGTCCAGTACCTACTTGTCCAGCTTCCTCCAGCTGGACCTTATACGTGAACGGAATCGTAAAGTAACCACACCTGTTTCTGCTGAAAGGAATTCGGGACCCAGTCTCCCCTTCTTCCTACCACTTGTTGAGACAGCTAAAGGGTTGGCCTGGGTTGACGCGGACACTCCTCAGGATGATCCAATGCTGGGTGGTGCTGAAAGTTCATCAAGACAGTCTCTGAAACGACACGCAATTTGGAGTGATGAAAGCCTTACTGGATTGGAACCTGTACCGGGGCTGGCTTCACGAATTATGCGTGCAAAGGAAGATGATGAGTGTAAGTCACATCGATCTCATTCTTTGGTCGCGCGTCTGTTTTTTATGGTCTCATGAAATCAGTTCATTTGCCTGTCTTGCTGATTATTTAAAACCGTAGTCTTGCTGCTTTAGCTTCTGGTTATGTTTACTTTGATGTTTTTACGTTGCGATGCTAATGCGAGTATTCGTACCACCAGATCTACCGATTCCGGTTAGACTTTTCGGTAGATTGTTTGAGCTTAGAGACAGCAGGCCAGATGCGGTTCCACTAAGTGTATGATGATGTTTAGTGCCGACTATCTTTTTTCACATTCTTTATCTTTTGCCGCCCAACCAGTTGATGAAATCATGCTTACACTGAAGTCGCTTGGACCTAGCGCTTTGGATTTGGAAATCCGACTGTTGGCTCCATCTTTGGAGGAAGAGGAAGCTGTCAGTTCGGCGGTTACGGAGGAATTCACGGCTACACTCCATTGTGCAACACATGAGCGACTTCAGGGCTTCCTGCGCCTACTGATAAACCGGTGCGTTTTTTTTCGTTCATTTGGAGGTTCCCCTCTCGGTTGTATACAAAAACCGACCATTTCCCTGGACAGCTTAGCGAAAAACGTTGTTAGTGATTCCGCTTTTACATACACTTCATTGGAATGACCTTTTCACGCAAGTATAAATGCCTGTCGCAATCGGTCTGAAATACCGCGACCTTTTTTGTATATTCATGACTTTTCTGTATCATTATCCACTCGTGATGTCCCAGTTCACCTTCATGGATCTAGTCTGTATTCTTCCACTTTTTTGGGAGCACTGAGTACACGACTCCTACTCACCTAAGTAAGTTAGTGCTGATAATGGACGATCAATTCACTGGCTGCCACAGAGGAGTGGAAAACCTGTCGACTGTATAACACATAAGGTTGGTGGGAAATTGAAGACGACTGCCTACCAGAAACCAACAAACACGGGAACCGTCTTAAGCTATTCATCAGCACACCCAAAGCCCGTGTACGCCAGCATTGTCTCATCGATGTTTCGTCGAGTTAGAGCGCTGTGCACAGAAGAGATCGACCGGACGGCAGCTCAAATCGAGATTGCCAACAAACTTCAAGAAATAGGACACCCAGTGAGTTTGATTAGGCGACAACTAAGGAAGATATTGGCTCCAGTATCTAGACCCAGTAAGGAGTGGATTGGCACAGCAGTCATTCCATGTAAAGCAGGAACATCGGAGGTTATTCGAAGATTGTTGAACTTAGCCAACATTAGAGTAGCTTTTCAGAAGGGAAAAACGCTACGCTCAGTTTTGGTGCAATTGAAAGATCCCCTGCCGGCTAAAAAGACTAGGGACTGTGTGTACAAAATTAACTACAACGATTGTGCTAAGGTTTATATAGGACAAACTGCCAGGGAATTGCACACCAGAATTGGTGAGCATAAAAGAAGGATTAACAAACCACCAAGGAATGC